AAACCGCTTAGAGAGGGCTGAAAGCCCTATGAAGCGGTATATAAGTCTAACTGCTATTGCTATTGCTAAATCTTCTCAGGAAACCTTACTGTCAAATACCTGAGATGGCATGACTTCAGCATTGGTGCCACCAATCTCCACGCCGGCGTACAAGCAAGCTTTGTAGTGTGCTTCCACGATATCACGTCCGTACACTTTATTTGCACCAACCCCACAGTAATAGGGTCCTGGGAGAAAAAGCAGGATTGCATTTGTTAGTAAACAACGAACGTGACTCATGTGAGCCGAGGTGGCCCAGTGGTTAGAGTGCAGTATTGCAGGCTGCTTCAGCTGACTGCTAGCTGCAGTTCGGCAGTTCGAATGTCACTGGCTCAAGGTTGACTCAGCCTTCCATCCTTCCGAGGAAGGGTAGGGTAGGGTAGGGTTAGGATAGAATAGAATAGAACAGAATAGGGAAGGGAGGGAAGAAGGAATGAAAGACTCAGAGGGGGGGGGAAGGAAAAGGAAAGAAGGAAAGAAAGAGAGGAAGGAAGGAAGGAAGGAAGGAAGGAAGGAAAGATTTAGAGGGAGGAAAGAAGGAAAAGGAAAGAAGGAAAGAAAAAAGAAGGAAGGAAGAATGGAATCATAGGGAGGAAGGAAGACGGAAGGAAAGATTTAGAGGGAAGAAGGAAAGGAAAGAAGGAAAGAAAAAAGAAGGAAGAAAGAATGGATTCATAGGGAGGGAGGGAAGAAGGAAGAAAAGATTCAAAGGGAAGGAGGGGGAGAAAGGAAAGAAGGAAGGAAGGAAAGAATGAAAGAAAAAAGCAATCAAGCAATCAAACAAGAATTAAAATTTGTTTAATTCCAGGTTTTTTTCCCTTTCTTTCTGGAAATGACCCATTCCTGTCCTTTCCCCACTCCCGTAAGTTCGTTCATCCCAGTATGTTGTCAATTCTAACCTGCATTTACTTCTTGTTTTCTCATTGCTAGCATTAAAAAAAGAAAGTCAGAACCAAAATATGCATAGGAGGGGGTGGGGGGGAGAGAATCAGGAAGAAAAGATTGCGCAACCAAACCAGTTCTTCGGTGGCGCATTTTGTGCAATGCTGGGGACAAGCAATGTCCTTGGGGGATTTCGCATGAAAATTTTTCCATTACTGTCTGGATTTTGGGCAGGGAGAGGGGGGGTGAGAGAGAGAGGGGGAGAGATGGGGGGAGAGGGAGAGAAGGAAGGAAGGAAGAAAGGAAGGAAAGAGAGAGAGAAAGAAAAGGAAGGAAAGAATGAAAGGAAAAAGAGAAAGAAAAAAGGAAGGAAGGAAAAAGAGAGAAAGAGAAAGGAATGAAGGAAGGAAAGAATGAAAAGGAAGGAAAAAGAGAGAAATAAAAAAGAAAGGAAGGGAGGGAGGAAGGAAACAGAGAGTGAGAAAGAAAGAAAAGGAAGGAAAGAATGAAAGGAAGGAAGGAAAAAGAGAGAGAAAGAGAAATGAAGGAAAGAATGAAAGGAAGGAAGGAAAAAGAGAGAAAGAAAAGGGGAGGGAGGGAGGAAGGAAGGAAACAGAGTGAGAAAGAAAGAAAAGGAAGGAAAGAATGAAAGGAAGGAAGAAAAAAGAGAAAGAAAAAAGGAAGGAAGGAAAATGAGAGAAAGAGAAAGGAAAGAAGAAAGGAAAGGAAGGAAGGAAAAAGACAAAGAAAAAAGAAAGGAAGGGAGGGAGGAAAAAGAGAGAAAGGAAGAAAGAAAGAAAAAGAAAGAAAGAATCTTGAAAGTGGGGTTTGTTTTATGAAGGATTGTACAGCTGTTGCCCTGACTGATTCACCAAGGAATCCAACTAAGTCTTCCAGAAATACAGCCAGTCCTCGACTTACAACAGTGTCAATTTAGTGACCATTTGATGACAGCACCTAAAAAAGGGACTTATGACTGTTTGTTCACCACTTACGACCTCTGCAGCATCATCCCCAGGGTCACGTGGTCAAAATTCGGCCGACTCGTATTTATGACGGCTGCGGTGTTGCGAGCGATCCCCTTTCGGGGACCTTCTGACCAGCAAAGTCAATGGGGGGGGAAGCCCGATTCACTTAACGTCTGTATGACTAACTGAATGACGGCAGGGGTTCTCTCTCAACAAGGGTGGCCGGAGAAGTGGTAAAACGGAGCACGGCTCCCTTAACAAGGCCTTCGCCACGTTGGGCTTAACTGCGGTCACAAGTCGAGGACTGCCTTCCGGCCCGGTCAGCTAGCTGGTCCTCCGTGGCAACCTCTTACCTTGTGGGCCCGGAAATCCATTTTCGGGCCAGCCATACGGACGTCCATCCATGCCCAGCAAGGTGTATTCCTGCTCCATGCCAAACCAGGGTTGGCAGTCTTTAACCAATTCCATGACTTGCTTACAGGTGTACCTGTTATTGGTCTCTGCAGGAGGGGAGGAAAAAATGGGAATGGGAGAATTTGAACCCGGAACCGGATGGGGAGCATCTCTTCATGCTGAAATCCAGCTGGTGGTGCAGGCACCTTTAAGTACTGAACAGCCCCAAACAAAAAATATTAAAAGAAAATTGAGGTCCCACTAAAAAATTTTTTAAAGAATTGTTCTGCTGTGACCTACAGAACGTAGAATAAGAGGGTAGGAAGGGACCTTGGAGGTCTTCTAGTCTCACTCCATCCATGGCAGGAGCTTGTTAAAATATTCGTGACCGGGAGAGACATGGGAGCAAGGTCAGCCAACGAATAGGCATAGCAACTAAGTCAGCCGATGGGAGCTAAAACAGATCTGAGTCCGTGCAGAGAATTGAAACAGAAACTGAAGAAACTGGAGCTGTCTGCTGCTCTGAGAAGTAAACTAGCTGGGGTGTGAGAGGAGGAAGAGAACTGCGTTTCATTACTCAACTAGGTAACATCATCAGTGCTAGATTTCGTTCGAGCTATTTAAGCAAAGCAGATATGCCAGCGGCCTGGGTAGGCTCTTCCTTTGGGAGAGAAAAAGGGATTTTAAAAAAGGAACATTGAAGAGAAAATACTCACCAGCCGGTTTCCGGTTGTACTTCAGAACCTCACACATTATTAGCTTGTTGGGGTCCAAGCTAAACGGATCTCGGAACATCTTGACGGGGATTAAGAACATGTCGCTGTTTGATCCTTCGGACTGCCCAGTGCTGGAGCCATCGAAGTTCCATTCTGATAGTTCTACAAGAGATTTGAAGGGTAACAGAATAAGAGTTATTTATTTATTTGTTAAATTTCTAGGCCGCCCAATCCGAGGACTCCGGGCGGCTTACAAAGAAAGAAAGAAAAAGAAAAAAGAGAAGCAAAATAAAAGAATAATTTAAAAATTCCCAACACGCATACATTTCTGATCGAGGCTGGACCTTAACAATAAAGTCAACAGCCCCAGGCCTGCTGGAACAGCCAGGTTTTAACAGCTTTTCTGAAGGCCATGAGAGTGGGTAAGATCCGGAAGGGACCTCGGAGGTCCTCTAGTCCTACCCTCTGCTCAGGCAGGAAACCCTGCACCATTCCAGACAAAGGATTGTCCAATCTCTTCTTGAAAACCTCCTGCGTTGGAGAATTCACAAATTCTGGAGGCAATGATTAAATTATTGCAACTGTAGACAAAGGAATCTTTACTCATGAATGGACTTTGTAAGAGGCGCGCCTACAATTTAACTCAAAGGAGGTTTGTCAATATTATCAATTCAAACCCCACAGGGCACAGAATTCTCACCTTAAAAAGTAAAAGTTCCCCTCGCACGTATGTGCTAGTCGTTCCCGACTCTAGGGGAGCGGTGCTCATCTCCGTTTCAAAGCCGAAGAGCCAGCAATGTCCGAAGACGTCTCCGTGGTCATGTGGCCGGCATGACTCAACGCCTGAAGGCGCACGGAACGCTGCTCCCTTCCCACCAAAGGTGGTTCCTATTTTTCTACTTGCATTTTTTTAACATGGTTTCGAACGGCTAAGTTGGCAGAAGCCGGGACGAGTCACGGGAGCTCACCTTCAACGCAGTTTGGTTCCTGGTTTAAGGTTTTGGTTTTGCTGCGAAGGCCTTCCCCGCTTCCATCTATCCAAATGTACGTGGCCAACACCCTCTTCCCTTGGGGTAGCTTCATGTACTGGTCTCTGACCCCTTTGTTAAGTTTGGAACTGTGTGACACAGACATGGTGGCAAACCTGGGGAAGAAAAGGCAAGACCCCCTTCAAAGTCAGGTTCACAGTGAGAAGGATGTCGGGGTTACACAAGTAACACACCCATAGCAAACACAACTCAATTTCCTTGAAGAATAGGTTTATTGGATACGTCTTATTGGCGCGGGCGGGTGAAAAACCGACTCTGGATATTCCCGCGGTTTCCCACCTAAATGAAAGTGGAAATTTGCCACTTTCTCAAAACAATCGGGTCACGTGGTCCAATCCAGTTGCTAGGCGACTCCAGCCCCCCCTTTTCAGCACCTGCAGGAATGTCCTTGGCTCCCAGTATTTTATTTTGGCTACAACAACCAACTATTCCCCTTTCCCTGTCCCTCTTCCTTGGTGTGTCAGTCTCAAAAGGGACTCAGTCAGGTCAGCTTCAGGGGTTGACAAGAGGATCTAACACAGTGTCTCTCAACCTTGGCGACTTTAAGTCCTGTGGACTT